ATTTGCGCCGAAAACACGACATAAGAGTCGATGAATTGCGTCCACGATATGGACTCGTAGTCGTTCTCCAACCTCATGATGAATGTCTGCAACGAGTTCTTCAGGTCAGACACCCGATGGATCAGTGTGTCCACCACTGCCTCCAACTGCTTCTCCTCCCTGTCCATCACTGTCTGTCACAGAGATCACCACAAGTTGGTCCACAACATCACCACAACATCAATGCAAACACTGCTAACATAGGGTTCGCCACATATATAGTGACCACTTATCATGTGTTGGACGAGTCATACACTGCCCCCACAGTCACTGCACTCTTACATCGTTTCGCAACTATTACTCCATTAATGTATTCAGAAATCAATTAATTTATTGTATTTTCGTTTCAAATGTAATCAATTGATTGAATGAGAGGACTATATGTATTGGTCAGCAATAGTGAGAGCATTGCATATATAATGGGTCGCAGTGTATGCAAAGGGAGTGCGTATTAGCAGAGAGTGTGTGCAATGAATAACGTGTTGAATGTATGGCTCGTATTGTCAGCTGATGTCTAATGTTTGGGTCATTGCAGTGGTGACTGAAGTACACAAACATTGTATGCATTACTCATGAAAACAAAAACATTTCGCTTTTAATTGAATTCATTTGAATCACTCATTCATTCAATTCAATTGATTTAACATTAATTGAAGCGTTTGTTTACTTTTATATGCAACACATTGAATCCAAATGTTATAACTCTTATCACATTTGCTATCAATTAATGGTTTGATAAGTAAATACAAAACAAAAGTAAGTCTAAAAAATTATAATTAATTTTAGGTATATTTGAATTGTTTAGTAATTTATGATTATATACACCATTTGTATGACGTTTTCAATATATATGTGCTTTAAATATGTTTGAATACATGAATACATGTGACAAATGGATAATACATTTGAATGTCATTGCAATGAATGAAGGCTTGCATTGATATGACGTTTGAAAGACATTCACATAGAAAACAATGAAAGCAATGGTTTAGTGAAGAGATAACCACTGATTGTCTTATAAGTCAATCACTCTCTCAATGGCAGTGTTAATGACAAACNATTGATATGACGTTTGAAAGACATTCACATAGAAAACAATGAAAGCAATGGTTTAGTGAAGAGATAACCACTGATTGTCTTATAAGTCAATCACTCTCTCAATGGCAGTGTTAATGACAAACACTTTCAGTCACAATGTGTTGTCTCTCTCTTTGTTTCAATTGGTCTCCACTTTATTATCCATTTATTGAATGACTTAACAATTTACACGTTATATCACATAACCATTGCTTTTGTTTATTTGGTTTGCGTTTAAAATATTTAGTAATTTTATATTAAGTAATGACTGTATGTTTCATCATATGATCACATACTGTGTATTAATAATACTATTATATAACTGCTGTCATAATGTGTATGTATTGTGTTTCAGGAGGTGGTGGTGCGGGTGAGCAGTGTGTGTGACATGACTTCAAGTGCTTCGTACCAGAGTTTCGCAGAGATCGGTGATGACGCCAATCATGTGCTGATACATGTGCTGCCCAGCGATGGCCGCAATGGGATGCGCTCGTGGCAGCACTACATCCACGACTTGGATGACTTCTTCAACAAAGTCTACAAATACCACCAAAAGTCGGGATTCGCGTGCATTGTCTTAAGCAATGTCTTAGAACTGATTCAAATACTATTTGTTATATTATTCACAATATTTTTATATCATTTTATTGATTACGACATACTATTCAAAAACAAACCGCCGGCCCATTGGACGGGTGGTAGTAACACATCCAAAGTGACAATCAGTGATGTGCTCATCCCTTACCACTCCGTTACTTATAGTGCGCTTGAGGTCTACCTAATAGTGATAGCACTGGTGTTCTGGTTCTTCAAGTTATTCAAAGCGATTCACTCACTGTATGTGAACCACGCCATCAAAGCCTTCTACAGCGAAGCGCTGCATATCTCGGACTCAACTCTGTTCACATGGCAGGACATCCAGAGCCGACTTATTCAGGCCCAACACGTCTGCCTCCTACAGGACGCACAACTCAATGAGTTAGTCATTCATAACCGTCTTCTCCGGCACCACAACTACATGATAGCGCTGATCAACAAAGGCTTACTTCCCATCCACTATAAGGTGCCATTCGTTGGCGAACTCACGTACCTCACCAAAGGCTTGCAATTCAATTTCCAACTCCTCCTCTTCAGGACCTCTCTCTTTGAGAATAATTGGAAACTTAAGGATGAAGTCAAGAGCGGAACCAATCGACTGATTTGTGCGCAAAAGTTGGAGAAATATATCATTCTCTTCGCTATCATTAATTTAATACTCTTTCCAATGGTAAGCCTCTGGCAGTTATTGTACATTATCTATACGTACGCCGAGGCCATCAAACGCGATCCATCCATGGCTTTAGGTTCCAGGGGTTGGTCTCTGTATTCCAAGTGGTTTTGCAGACATTTCAACGAATTAGACCATCAATTGAATGAACGACTCANATTCCAAGTGGTTTTGCAGACATTTCAACGAATTAGACCATCAATTGAATGAACGACTCAATAGCGGCTACAAAGCGGCCACAAAATACATGAACTCATTCACGTCTCCCTTACTCGAAGTGTTGGCCAAATTTGTGTCATTTATTGCCGGAACAGTTGTTTCAGTTGTCATACTTCTGACCGTTTATGACGAGGACGTGATTGCGACTGTGAGTACTATATTTGATTTATTAATATATTAAATATACAGTAACTTAGCGTTTGTCTAAAATTTAATATTTTGTGTTTAAACTACTATTTCCACAATTGGTACCTATCTTTGCGGGCAAATAGTTATTAAGAATGAATTGAATCGAGTGTTTGTAATATATATATATATATATATATATACAACATATATATAACTATATATATATATAACTTAAATATTGTATTTTTACATTTATATTACATTTTTTAGGAACACATCATAACTTTAGTGACACTTCTGGGCGCACTCATAGCCATATCGAGAGCATTCATCTCCTCAGAGATACCCT